CTGAGAGTTAAATAACCCTTTTTTGTTTCTTGATTAAAGTATTGGAATAAATCTATTTACTGTGTTTTTGAGAGGGGAAAACAAAATTATTTCTTAAAACTCCTTCAAAGCAATTGCTCTCAAATCCGCATCACTTTTAGGTTGTTTGTTCCTATATGTTTGTCAATTTCAAAAAATGGTTTAATATATATATTTTTTTGTTGTACTGACCTTTACAATCCCCCCCCCCTTTTTATATATATATATATATATATAGAAAAGGGGGCTTTATTCTAAAATATAAATATTAAATGTTCTTGTGTGTGTGAAATTTGTTTCTAATTATATTTTAGTAGTGAGAAAAAGAAAAGTGTGTAATAAATATTTAATTATATATAATAACATCAGAGAGAGAGAGAGAGAGAGATAAACGTGATAGTTTTATTGATAAAGAATTTTAAATATTTGTCATAAATATTTGTTGAAAATTTGAATGATTTCAACTTAATATAATCAAGTTTATCAAATATATTTACTTTGAATGCAGGCGCTATCAAAACGCGATATTAATAACGTTATGTATTTTAAATTTACAGTGTGTAAATGTTTTAAACAAGTGAATATGTTTATATCTATATATTGTAGTTAGGGTCTTTTGGTCTAATTTGACAGAACATGTTCATTTATTCTCAATGCAAGGATTTATTTGCCTAACCGGGTTTACTTTCCCCTTCAATACATGCATTTAATTTTTTTTTTCATTTCCTGGTGCCGTTTCATGTTAAATTAGGTCTTCAACCTAGTTTGCATTTATATCTAAAAGGCTTTTTAGCTTGGATTGCCTTCCAGTTTAATGCGCGTTTAAAAAGATATTTAACTGTGTTCTCTTTCATGTTATGTAATCTAGTTCATGTTATTTTTTGTTACATTTTACTTAATTTAGTTCGATTTCTTGTTAATTTTCTTAGTTTGCCTTCATGATTAATGTGTGTTTAAAAGTCTTTTTGACTTGGTTCGCTTTAATGTTTGATGGGTGTTTAAAAAGTCTTTTTAACTTGGTTCGCTTTCATGTTTGATGGGTGTTTAAAAAGTCTTTTTAACTTGGTTCGCTTTCATGTTTGATGGGTGTTTAAAAAGTCTTTTTAACTTGGTTCGCTTTCATGTTTAATGTGTATTTAAAAGTATTTTTAACTTGGTTCGCTTTGATTTTTAATGTGTGTTTAAAAAGTCTTTCTAACTTGGTTCGCTTTCATGTTTAATGTATATTTAAAAAGTCTTTTTAACTTGGTTCGCTTTCATGTTTGATGGGCATTTAAAAAGTCTTTTTAACTTGGTTCGCTTTCATTTTTAATGTGTGTTTAAAAAGTATTTTTAACTTTGTTCGCTTTCATGTTTATTTTGTGTTTAAAAAGTCTTTTTAACTTGGTTCGCTCTAATGTTTGCTGTGTGTTTAAAAGGTCTTTTTAACTTGGTTCACTTTCATATTTGATGGGCATTTAAAAAGTCTTTTTAACTTGGTTCGCTTTCATTTTTAATGTGTGTTTAAAAAGTATTTTTAACTTGGTTCGCTTTCATGTTTGATGGGTGTTTAAAAGTCTTTTTAACTTGGTTCGCTTTCATGTTTGATGGGTGTTTAAAAAGTCTTTTTAACTTGGTTCGCTTTCATGTTTTATGGGTGTTTAAAAAGTCTTTTTAACTTGGTTCGCTTTCATGTTTTAATGTGTATTTAAAAGTATTTTTAACTTGGTTCGCTTTGATTTTTAATGTGTGTTTAAAAAGTCTTTCTAACTTGGTTCGCTTTCATGTTTAATGTATATTTAAAAAGTCTTTTTAACTTGGTTCGCTTTCATGTTTGATGGGCATTTAAAAAGTATTTTTAACTTGGTTCGCTTTCATATTTGATGGGCATTTAAAAAGTCTTTTTAACTTGGTTCGCTTTCATTTTTAATGTGTGTTTAAAAAGTATTTTTAACTTGGTTCGCTTTCATTTTTAATGGGTGTTTAAAAAGTCTTTTTAACTTGGTTCACCTTCATGTTCGATGGGTGTTTAAAAGTATTTTTAACTTGGTTCGCTTTCATGTTTGAGGGGTGATTAAAAGGTTATTTACTACTCGAAGATGCATAAATTATATTCTTAAGCTCTAGTTGAGGGATGGGAGTTAATTTTATGGAACATATTGTTGTGTGTCAACAAGTCGCCGACCGGATGTAACACATGACCGGAAAAACTATTTATTTTTGTTATTGTTGTATTTTTATTTTTGTTTATTCTGTTATTATTTTAGAAACGGCACACACCACAGAGATGAGGAGTATAATTTGTATTTGACCGTTGGCCACTGTTGTCACAGCAACAAGTTAGAGATAACGCTCCAGTTATCTTTAGCCCCTCGATTGGAATACACTGTGACGAATTGTTTTAACGTGTTCTGCCTCAGCTACAACCCCTCCTACAACTGGCCCGACGAGACCCAAAACTAACAACTTTCCTGGATCTTAGTGACCATGGCCCACTCAGATGATAGAGTACTTCACCAAATAAACCACTGAGATTTACATCCCCCGCCTCTGTCTCATCAATACGGTCATCCACATTAGAAGTGTGCTTGGAAATTTCCTTGGGTGAGAATATCCCGAGGAGGCCAGTCTGACCTGAATCCAATAGAACAGGATGTCTTAGGGATATCATCAGCCCCTTTCCGAGAATCCTCCTTCAACCAAAATCTGCTCAGAGGATTTATTTCTCCAAGAACTCCCCCAAAGCCTGTTGATCAGCCAAAAGGCTTATTGTGAGAGTTAGCCATATCTATCATACTTCTCTGATCGAAAGGCTCGACACTTTGCTCATAAAATCCTGAAAACTCAATATATTTTCTCCTGGTTTGTGGCAAACGCAAGCGTCACCCTTGGCCTGGAGTCCTGCCAATTTTAAAAATCACGCGCCACAATAGCGCGAGCAGCGGCTGTTCGAAGTGAAGCCATTTTGCTCGTGCTTCGAATTCGTTAGTCACCGAAATGGAGGATCAACGAATTTGCATCAAGTTCTGTGTGAAAAACGGATTCAAGGGTGCCAAAATTTTTTGGATGTTGCAAACAGCCTACAAGGATGCCGTCATGAGCCGAAGACAAGTTTTCGAGTGGTACAAGCGCTTCAAGGAGGGTCGGGAAGAGACCGCCGACAACGAGCGTTCCGGGAGAACGTCCACATCAACCACGCCTGAAAAAGTGGACAAGGTTTTGGAACTGGTGCGTGAAGAATAACTGTCAGGGAGGTCGCCGAAGAAGCAGGGATATCATTCGGATCGACTCAACGCCGTTCTCATTCCCAAAGATTTGACTTTTGATCAAAAGAACGCCGGAAAGAAACTGCCAGTCTCAATCTCGAAGCGACAACCGACGATCCCGAATTGCTGAAGAGGGTCATTACTGGAGACGAAACATGGATTTACGGCATTGATTCAGGAACTACCCAACAGGCATCGGAGTGGCGCTTCAAAAATGAGCCGAGACCAAAGAAAGCGAGGAAGGCTCCCAGCAAAGTCAAAGTCATGTTGACGGTGACTAACAGGGCATCGTTCATCATGAATTTCAACAACAAGGCTCTACAATAACTGCTGACTCCTACCTGGGAGTTTTGAGGCGATTGAGGGAAGCGATCAGGCAGAAACGGCCGGAGCTGTGGAAGAGCAAGTCATGGATCCTCCACCACGATAACGGGCCGGCGCCCCTAGCTCTCAAAATCTCAAAGTTCCTGCAGGACTACTCAACCTCTGTGTTCCCCCAACCCGCCTACAGTCCCGATATGGCCACTTGCGACTTCTTCCTTTTTGGAAAGCTAAAAAAAAAGTTAAAGGGTCGGGAATTTCAGATCATAGAAGAGATCAAAGTGGAATCGAAGGCCATGAAGGCGATCCCGAAAACAGACTACCAGAGGTGTTTTGCCGACTGGAAAAAAAAGGTGGCTGAAGTGCATCATGGCCAACGGGGACTACTTTGAAGAGGAAAATTTGAATTTGGTAGAATAATAAAGTTTTTTTTTTAACTTATGAGCAAAGTGTCAAAACTTTTTGATCAGAGTAGTATATCCATTTGGAGATATCCTGACTCTTTATTTATATGTGGGTTTATTTAAATATTTTATAGTTTTATCCATCATTAAGTCTGGTCATCTACAGACAAGGACTTTCCAGAATGATTGCAAGGATACTATGTACTAAGTGAAATTCTCAACCTGTAACCCCAGAACTCATTATTGACTGTATTGACTCATCCATTGATGAGCTCTACTCATCCCCAGCAAACACCATCTACAAGCTTGATACTCTTCTTCTTCTTCTTTCTTATCTCCACTCAATCATATTAAGGTATCAATTTGTGACCCTTGATGGTGTCTGTTTGACAGCTATCATGACTGGGTGAAGTAGAATGCGTCTGCCTTTGTCATTAAGACTGGGAGCATTACTCAGTGGCAGGCCAACTTAGCACCAAAAGAAATGGCCACCTCTGACATGAGGAACAGACGCCATGTGCAGCTGCTCCTAACAGGAGTACAAATGCTGCTCATCCTGTATCCCTGGATTAGGAGCCCTTACAGGGTACTATCAGCCAGGCCAGCTGAACCCAGTTTTTTTAGCGAGCTCGTTACTGCTCTCCCTCCTCCTTTTTCATCCGGGCTAGGGACTGGCAAAGGCGGCTTGATACCCTAATATGATTGAGTGGAGATAAGAAAGAAGATAGTTTTATACATTTTTTTAAAAATCCATACATCTAGATTGATTACCTGTATAATAATTTAAAAAATGATATACCAATCATTTATCATTTTTTAAAATAAAGTATTTGTTTAAAAATATATCTACATTTGGGATTTTTTTCCACAAATTCCTGAAATTGTTGTGCGAATGTATAATAAAATTGATCAATTCTTGCAGCTCTAAAGTTACTATTACAGAAATATCTTTATTTACAGGGCTGCTAACCAGAATGAATGATTTTTGAGCCCAAAAAAAAAAAAAAAAAAACGCAGCTCACATGATACAAACTTGTTCGGGGAGACCCCATTGGATTTCGAGTCCAACACCTTAACCACTCGGCCATGACTGCATATTACCAGGTTACCATTACAGAATAAAGAGATCAATTGTCAGATATACAACCAAATACACTTCAGAGAGAAATACAAAACCTTGAAAAATTATTCATTTAAAAAACTTACAAATAAATAAAATTATAGAATATGAATTTTGTAACTTTTTGAACTCCCATTTGTATAATTTTATACCTTTATGATCTATGTAACCATTGAGCTAAGAAAACAATAAATCGTTATTGGTGGCTTAACTCAATAACAATTGGCTGTTTGAGATCATGTGACAAAAGTGAACCAATCACTGGGAGAATATCTTGGGAAAACCATACAAGTTCATTATCGCAAGATTTCGACAAATTAAAAAAAAAAAAAAAAAAAACGGCATAAGATGCCTCAACTCTTTTTAATAAAAAGTCTTACGCTTTTTTTTGTAACTATACATGTATACATAGCTATAAGGCATAGAGTCTAACCTTGTTAATTCGATAATACGTGCAATAATTCGGCCCTGTTTTAATGTCCCAACCTCCAGCCTATCAAAGAGCAAACACTAATTTAACCAAACAAAAATTCGCCACAGATAATTCAACCAATTTTTTTAAAAATCAAATTTCGACAAAATTAGATAATTTAAGACGAATAATCCTTTCAATAATTATAATAACGAAAAGATTTAAAAAGGATAAGTTTCTTTATTTGAAAAATAAATTCGAGCTCGAATTTATTTTTCAAATAAAGAAACTTATCCTTTTTAAATCTTTTCGTTATTATATTAAAATTAGATAATTCTTATTAAAATACAAATTTATTACTATAAATACAATACTTTGGTATGCGCACCGTACTTGAAAGTGTTAAAATGTGCCACAAATATTAGCGCCAAAATAGACGGCATTTATTTTTTACCCTTAGACGATTTAGGCCTAACTTAAGCGCATGTTAGTCATAATGTAAATAAGGTGCCTCTAAGAGTAAAATAAATTCTTTAGCTTTTTATTCATTTCTAAATTTCTTTTTTTTTAACCATTGCATTTATACACCTAAATTAAAATAATATTTGTATTTTTTTTTCAAAAATGTATTAATGCATATTTATCCATCGCTAAAAGTAGACCATGAAACATTCTGTAAAAAAAAAAAAAAGTCCCAATTGTATCAATTCATATTATTAATTAAAAATTTGTTGTGTGTCAACAAGTAGCCGATCGATGGGGCACACGTTACCTGAAGAACTAATTATTTCTGTTTATTCTTTTATTTATTTATATTTTAGATCTATCAGAGAGAAACGCACCATAAAGATGAAGGGTATTAATTGTATTTGACCATTGACCCCTGTTTTCGCGGAAACGTGTTGAATATAAAGTGCAGTTATCGATTACGATCCCTTATGATTACCGATTACCCTTCGTCTTGTTTAGATCTTGACGTTGAACCGGTCGACGAGACCCACAACTTAACGATCTTATTGGTCTGTGGAGAAGTAAATGGCTCTCAAACAGCCGAAAATAATTCTTGAACGATCATCCATCAATATGTTCAAGAACACTGAAGACATAGGTTTGAACTGAGATGACATTATACATTCCATAATTTGTCTCGTTTTACACCAGTAGAAGGGTGATTGTGCCCGAAAGCTTGTGATCTAATTTTGTGTAATAAAGAAACTCTTTCCTCATAAAGTATTTCGTTCTTAAAGTTTAGTGAAGGAATTATTACTTCAACATTCCATAATCTCCCGTCCTAAAAAGCTAAAATATCTTGAAGACTGCTGATAAGATGGGAAGTCTGAACCAACTCTTCGGCCAGATAATCCCCTAGTAGAGGACAAGTCATGCACACTCTACAAGCGGCTCACCAACATCCAGCGTTCAACAAATAAGAGCACGCTATGAGCTTCCGCATAGCGTGCCTCAACGTGCCCGGTATTGCCGTTCATCATAGGAGTATGAAACTGTTCTGCTTATTAAAGCAGCACTCAATTGACATTGCGTTTGTCCAGGAGACGAACGTCTTGGCCCTGGAAAATTTTCGGGATCTCTGCTTCAGCTACAGGGCTGTCTTCCAGGCTTCGTGTGGCTCTGCCACATTCTTCAAGGAGAAGCCTCATCTGTCTCGTTCCCAAAGTGCGCGGTGGTTTGGGCCTAAGCGCATACAGGCCCATAGCGTTACAAACAACGGACTACAGAATTGTCAGCGGCAACCTTCACGGTCGTCTGCGCCCTCACCTGCCTACCATCGTGCTGGAGTGCCAGACTTACGCTGTTCCAGGAAGATGTTTTTCTTGGAACATGGATATGTGTCTGACGAGGTCGCCATCGCCACGAGGAATAAAACGCCGCTGGCAGTTATCTCTACAGATCTGCAGTTCGCCTTTGATCAAGTACCGAGGATTCCTGATCTTACAGCTGCGCTCCATCAACCTGCCTCCCACCATCGTGAAGTGGTTCGAACTACTCTATGAATGGGCTGATGCGATAGTTGGAATCAATGGCAACTACACTCGCCTGTTCAAACTGCACAGAGGGCTTCGGCACCTGCGCCGCCCTCTTTGCCATATTCACGGGTCCACTTCTGCGCCATCTTGAAGAGAGTTCTGGAAAGAGGAAACGTCCTGGCGTACGCCCATGATATCCTTCTACTGATCCGAGAAGATTGGCAATTTGAGGAAGCCAAGTCCATATTTGACGATTTTCGGCGTGCGTCAGGGGTTGGCGTGAACTTCTCCAAGAGCAAGGAGCTGTGGTGCGGCGCCTGGAAGAATCGCGCTGACTCTCCTCTGGGCATCACGCGGTCATCATCCTCCATCATGGTCCTGGGATGTGAATTATCAACTGCTCACGGAACTGCGATCCAGGAAAGTCATCTTCTGGGCGTCTTGAAGAGAACGATCTACAGGTGGTATCACTACATCCGAAGTTTTCCCTTGTAGACCCGAGTGAGAGAGGCTAACTCGCTGGTGCTGGCATCAGTGCTACACCATCTGCACGCCTATCAGCGACACTACTAAAATCAAAATGCAGGCCAGGCTGACTCGGGTTGTGGGGCTCCTGCTATCGGGCCGCCTGACTTCCGGGTGCTGTTCTGGCTCGTCCCGTGTCCGTAGGTGGAGTTGGATTACTGGACATCTCTCTCTCAAGACTCAGCTTCAGCTTGCCTGCTTCAAGGGGTCCAGACCGCAAGCAGGGTTGGAAGCCGAAATGCCTACTCATGGCTGGTGGAGAGTGGAGTCTGGATGGCTCCCATGTCTTCGGGGGCTTGGCTGCCGCCACTTCGTCACAGTCTACTGGTCCTGTGGGAGCAAGCCTCCTCCATCCACCGCGTGGTGCCCACTCCCATCCTTCTGAACCTACCTCTCGTCGGTGCCTGCAAGTTACTGGCGACGCCATCGCTTCGGACTCTCTCAAGGTAGAGAGGAGTGCGTGTCCACGATCTGGCTGGCCCTGTTCCGTCGCTTACCATCCGGCTGACGAGGAACACTTGCGATAATTCAGCCGCCCTTTGTCCATTCTGCTGGTGTCTGGTGGCGGGAAACTTGGGGAGTGCGTATCAAGAGAGGAGCTTGAAGGAAGCTGTGGTGCTGCGCGGGAAGGCCATGCCATTCTTGCGCATCAGCAAACGCACTGCGCGTCGCATGTTGGAGCGCCCCCCGTCTGGCCACTGTTCTCATCTCGCGGTATCTCCAGCGGCGGGCGCTTGTCGTTGACGTACCGCCCTCCAACCTGGCGTTTTCATCTCTCCGTCGTTGCTCCTTCGGGGGCCTTGCAGCGGACATCGCTCTGCGGCTGGCCCTGCACGTCTTGCCTCATTCGGAGCACCCGGCGTCGACCCAGCCCGTCTGCATTGTCTGCGGCTCCAGCGACCTGTCGCTGGCCCACCGCTACTGGTCCTGTAGCGCCGTCCGCCCTTTCATCCGAGAGGCGTTCTCCATCATCGGGCGGCCGCTGGACCTGCAGTCCTGGATCTTCGCGGTGGGCCTCGAGGACCAGGCCATCACCATCTCCTCAGCGGCAAAACATGCGATCTACGTTTTCTTCGTAGATCGCGAAATGCGTGGTATCGCTGGAGACCCGCTGGCGATTTCCATCAAGCTCTGCAGCGGTGGCTGAGTCATTGTACATAGTATATACTTTAATTATTTTCGTATTATAATCACCATGATTGTAAATTTCTCATCATTATCTAAATAGTTCGGACTGTGTACACTTTGACCTGTATTGACAAGATGTCAATAAAAGTATGTTATTTAGCAAGTCTCTCTCTCTCTCGAGCGGCGCGGACGCACGTGCTCGCGCGCGCTCCCGCTTACCCCGCCGGCGTGGCGTGTTCTTTGGCGTTCTTTTCTTAAGCCTAAAAATAATGTTTTTAATTCTTTTTCGAAATAAATAAATATGATGGAACTTTCCAACCCATATGCGGTATTGGCGGAGAGCCAGGACAAAGACCTACACGATGGTATGATTCCAATCGAGGTGACTGATATGCAAGTCGATTTAACGACGACAAAAGAATCAACGAAGAATCGTTCGAATTCAGATGTGAGCGACGCAAATTCGATCGTGAAAAACGGCGGATATATAAATCCGGCCGCGGCAAAAAGAGAAAAATGGGCGGAGCAAGTTGAGGCCGCGGAAAAGGATAACAACACCGAACCTTTCCAATCTGTACACGGGAAAAAAAAAAAGGAAACGGTCTAACCCTAAAAGTCAGCGTGCCCAGATTATGAGGCTGGACGCTAGCTCTCCAAAACCACCTGGACAGCTTCGAAGGACCACGAAGGAGTTTGTGACCTTCGTCAGGAACACCAGACAGAAGCAGGCGCTGAACAAAGCCAGATCATCAGCAGCAACGTTCGACCAATGCTGCTATGTCGAATGGTGCGCGGACTTCCATCCCGTGCACTACATGAAGGCTTTGGAGGAGTTTCTGGGGAAGGAATCCGTCTACCAGCTGATGAAGATGTCCGGCCATGTTATGGTCGGACTGGCCAGCATTGAGAAGGCGGAGCGTCTGG